ATATATATAAATGCTTTAAATACTTTTATTAATTTCTTCAAAAGCATTTTTTTATTATACAATCGCTATTAATATGTTAAAAATTAATAATATGTATTAAAGTTAATATTATGTGATACATTTTTATATAGATTTTTGAAAAAAACCCACAATCAGTAAAATCATAGTTATGCAAATCTATACGCAAGCTGCAAAGCAATCGTATATTTAAGCAGTTCACCGATAATCGATATACTCGGTGGTAAAATAGACTCGTTACTACAATAGATGAAATTATTTACTGGAAAAGCGCTGAAAATCACTCCTCCATATTCGGAGAAGATAAATCAAACGATAAAGAATATGTATGTGTGTGTACGGCGCCGGGTGCGCATGCCATCGAAAATAGTGAAGAGGGTAACCGAAAAATTGTCGATGGAGTTATAAAAGTGGATTCTGTGGCCTCTTTCGGCGCCCCCTGATGCCCCCTCGTACCCCATCAGGTCGCAAAAAGCGGACGCGGGGTTACCAGCCCCGAGAAGCGCGAACAACAATACATTATTTATACGTCGTTCGGATGATATTGTGTCGGCACGCGCGCCTCTCTTTTGATATGACAGTTTAATTAATTTTAGCGCTTTAAGCATCAAGACCAAATTACCAAAGCATAAATAATTTAGAAGCAAAATTCTAACATTTACGAACACCATATATCCATTTGCTATATCTTTGAACATGATTTCTTCGCTCTCTTCACGATCTAATATCTTCTTTCTCTCTGTTTTCATTAAAATATATAATATATAATATTTTTAAATACAATTATTGTCGATCACCTTGGGTGGATTTTTTATGATTTCTACATGGGAATATAACAAAACTGTTTTCGTGAATTTTTCTTTGGGGAAAAATCCGTGGAAACGGCTGTTGAGAATCGCGAAAACCGAACCAATGACTGTCGTCCGAATTATAGTCTACAGGGTGCTATTTTAATTTTCGGAAACCGTTGCGTCACTCACCCTCTGACACATGAAACGCGTCATCGATTCGTTTGCACATTCGACTTTTTTCACTTTTTTTTTTGTCTTCGTTTTCGCCGCATTATTTGATCGAAAAAACGCGATGATTGTCGTGGAATGAGAAGAAACTGCCTTATGCAGAACAAGAGAAGAGGAGGAAAAGAAACGTGGGCTTTGCCAGTGTGCATTCTTGCAAATGCCGCGGTAACTGGAGAAAGAAACGTGCTCGTTAAATTATAACAGCTACCAAGTTCCGCTTCCGGATAAAAGCGACATAACACAGAATGTGGAAGAAGGAGAGAATGGACAGAATTTAGGGGATGAAAAAAGAGGAAAGAGAGAAAGAGAGAGAAAGATCACGCGGCAGAGGGTGGCTCTATATGCATACGAGAACATTCAGGTGTCAATCAAGACTCGGGATCTTTGGATTCTGGGGTGTCGAGCACGAAACACGATTTTTCCGCTAAAAATTTACGTATTCATTCACGTGCGAGGATCACGCGAATGGAGAGCTTTAGTAGACAGGGGCAGATTACGAGCGGGAAGTCTGTTTGCTTTTTTACCACTCTTGACTTCATATTCGAGAGCGTATTTTTTGCGCCAACCGTCACGCATTGTTAACGTCAACGCACATTTTTTTCACACGTTACCGCCAATAACGGCGGAAAGGAAGAAACGACTCTGTATCGCGACGCGCGAAAAATTCGACAATTCTTCGATTCTGAACAAACGAATCTGCGAACCGACGATTAATTTGTTAAGAAATTCTTAAATTATTTTTCATTTATACGCATTATTTTTCATTTATACATTTTGTCATACATATAAATAAAAATGTGTGTGTTACTCTTGATATATTATATAATGAATATTACGGTCTAGAAATCTTCCAAAAATACAAAAAATTTTATATAAATAGTGTTTTTTTAGAAACATCATATACTCTTCTAACAAATAATGATCTCGAGCTATCATCTCTAGACTGATTCAATTATTAAAAACAAAAATAATTAGAACTCTTCGAGCTTTTCTCTCTTTTTAAGTTCCAACTTTTTATTTTATTAAATAAATTTTGCACTATGAGAGAAGAATTATAAACAGGAAATTGTATTTAAGAAAGTTTCCAGACTTTGATAAACTGCGTATGATTTATCATAGCTCGCAAAGTGATACATTTGATTTCACAACGCACGCGCTCTCGCACACAACAACAAATAATAACATAACGATGTTTGTATGAGATTATTACTACAAGCTTTTTAAACTCGCAAGATTTATGAATCGATGAAATGCCGGATGATTGAAATCGGCAGATTCCAAATCGCGGTGGATCAAACATTTCTGCATTCCTCACGATTGGCATTGGCCGGCCAGTCGCAAATGAGCTTGGAGGTATGGAAGATCAAGCCGACGCCACATCGTGCCTTGATCGGCTTGTCGTGGTCGCAGATATAGTACTGTAAAATGTACACAATTATCACGCAAGAGATTCATTCTCGAATTCGTCGGATGCAAACGAATTACAGTTTGCAGCTTCACGTTACGAAGATTCTCGAGCCATTTTAAGGAAATACTCTTTTGATATCTAATGATAGAATTCAAATATCAAGAATCCGTAAACATGTAGCACTTAAATAATGATTATCAATCAAAATATCGTTGATTTGAAAATGTTTTACGAACCGTTGCGCAGTCTTTGCTGGGGATGATACTCTGACCATTGCAGACGACTTTGTCATCATCGACTGGCTTTAAAGTAGGCACCGTAGGACGAGGCGTTTCGGTAGTCCATTCGGGTTTCTTGGTGGGTTCGGGTTTCGGTTTGTCCTCACCCGTGGATGCTGGAGTACTGGGTGGCCTGTCCCATTCGGGCTATAAATAAATTATTATATTAGGTTGTAAAGATTATCATTTCTGCAGTTGCATTTTTTTGTGTTATACTATCTTACCCTGGGCGTTGTCTTGTAATCCTTAGGTGTCACTGTATAGCCCTTCAGGCCATCATAAATTGTGGTCATGAGGGGATTCACAGGACCACAAAGTCCTCTGAAATCATCCATATCGACAGCCCAGACCATGGCACCAAGATACTTCTTCTCCTTGAGGAAGTTCATCTTGTATACAATACTGTCAGCATCCTCGTAACCGACCCATTGAGTATCTGCGAATTAAGAATTATCGATAATTAAAAATTTAAACTAAAGCGATATCTGCTAGATTTAAAATTAAAAAGAGTTATACAGAGAGATCGCACAATTTAGTACTAAATGATAAAATATGCTTTATACATATGTCTTTTACATACATAACATGTGTAATATATTTACGAATTGATTTTCCATACTTTATTTATCAAAGTTCTCAGAAAAAAGCTATTCCGCAAAATTTTTACATCCGTAAAAATTAAACTTACCTTTGTACATATAAGGTACTTTGCCTACATCGTCATACTCTTTCGTCCATCCGTTGTTCGGTTTTTGGAGTTCCATACAGATCTATAAGTTTAATAAATTTTAACGTGGTCAATGCGCTTTGTTCGATTTCCTCAGTCCTTCGGGGATTAATCACTTACTTCGTAGTAAGCCAAGAATCCTTTAGCTGCGGTATACTTGCCAGGCGCACCGCCACCGGCTTCTTTGTTGATGTAAGTTCCAGGTTTTTTATTGTTATTGCCTTGGCTGAGGGTGAAAGTACGTCCGTACAACGGGATTCCTACGACGAGCTTGTTGGCAGGACATCCTTTGTCTTCCCAGAGTTGGAGACCATCGTGCTAAAATAATGACAATGATTGCATATTGCATACAGATCGATAGACATATAATTGCTGATATACTTTATTACTGATAAATTAAAAATTCTAAAATAACTACATAATTAATTTTATCGTTATTTTTAGCACGATAATGCGTAGTCTCTTGCGTCAACGTAGTGAATTATGTGTGTTATATAAAATATAAAATTGATATGTGCTTTCATCGATAAAAAAAATGTGGGAAACATACCACGTTTAATTTCTCGTAGGCGTACTGATCGTGGGGTCTCCTGTAAAGCGGGCTATGGACGTCGGCAAATCCACCCCAGTTGCCACGAAGATCGTACGCCATGACGTGGATGGCATCGATAAGTCTGCAATTATTGAATAATACTTATTCAGAAAAAATATATTAAAAACAGAAGCTGTTTACGTCACGCATGGTTTTTATATATGCGCGTATATATTTTATAGATATATTAAAAATATTATTCTACAACGAGAGGCAACTCTTACTCGCATAATTCTGGCACGTGATATCCTTCGTTGAGACGAAACGTGGCCATCGGCACTGCCATAGTAATCTCCCAGCCTTTTCCTGCCTTGTCGAACGCCGTCCTTAGCTCCTCGACAAAGTAGAAGAAGTTGTTCTTATCGCTAAAAGTGCCGCCTCTATCGGTAGCAGCCGGATATTCCCAATCAAGATCGAAGCCATCGAAGCCGTACTGGTTCATAAAATCTACGAGCAAAATCAGAAATTTAATTTCTTTTTATTTAAATTAACGAGAGGTGCCATATATCTGCGGATTCTTCCAGGAGAAACCGCGGAGTAAGGTAAACCTTGAATTTCTCAATACATATATCACATTTCAATAGTTTCATTATTCTTTTTATTATGATAAATTTTATAAATGAAGCACGTTTTTGCGCATAAATTACTCACCAACAATACTACTGATGAGTGAATCACGCCTGGCTTTCACGCTGACCATTTGGCTATATTTTCTGCCACCTTCGGCCCAACCGCCGATGGCGACTTGAGTCTTTATATGCGGATACTTCTTCTTTAGAGCAACGAACTTGTTGAAGCCGTCTTTCTCAACATCGAGTTCCTCGTCGAGAATAAGCTTTTCCCAAGTAACGTTGCTTACGCCGATGAAGGAGTAGATAATGTGCGTACACATATCAGTGGGGATGTCGTCGATGCCATAGCTGCCTACGTCCGGACGATAGATAGCCCAATTGCTAAAATAGCACACCAGCCTTGGAGCTTCTGAAATATCAATACGGTATTTAAAATTTTTTTAATTATTATGATCATTATTCGATCGCACAAGGAATATAATAATAGTTTTTTATCTGTCTTCGTTATTAATTCGTGATATGAGTTTCGTCAACTTTTAATTTTACCTTATCATTGGAAGTAAAACTCACCGGTTGCACCGTACGCCAAGAGTACCAGGAAGACAGGAAGGGAAAACAACAGCTTTCCCATTGAGGACGTCATTTTGAAATCTATAATTAAATAAAAAGACATATATAGAACGCGGTTTTTTAAAATAATATTAAATAATGCATTGAGCTTGTGAAATGGAGTTTTTAAAATTACACTCTACTCAATTATTTTAACTTTTGCTGAAAGCTCTCTTTTTTATTAAAAAGATTGGTATAATATTATTTTAATATTGGTAAAAATAGGTAAATATATACTATATATATATATATTTCTTTTATTACAATAAAATGAAAGAAACTCGATTCTCTATACACAAAAATATACTCTAAAGTCGCGTATTCTATAAACTTGATGCGATTTGTTCGGCACTCAAGACGTTTCTGCATCGCGGCCAGTTATCGAAGCGCTTCATCGAGCCATTGCGGAAACTCCTTGGAGCGTAAAGCAGTCGATTTATCGAGGTATCGTCGTATCCAAGGGGAATGATCTACAAGGACCGGTTCTCCGATGACACCACATTGACACCATCGTGAAATCTTTTTGCAACGTTTACCATGATGATGACGCTCGGCTCATTCGTGCATAAAACGCGCGACCAAAAAATATATCTGTGTGTCTATGTGTATTTCCGCTAGAATTTCTCACGTTATTAATTTAACGTAATTTCTCGCCGTAAGAATATGTCGTGGATACATGCAATTTCTCGATCGACCGTTAAGTGAAGAATCATTGTCGATTGACTGGAATTTTGATATTCATCTAAATTACGATATCGTGTTATCAGTATGCCTTGCATACAAAATCCATTTACTTATGATGTAAAATAGAATTCAGCGAGATAGAGATACTTATAAATCTTTATATGCTTATACAAAATCGATCATACTATATTCTCTTAGAGGGGGGTATTCTCTTATTACAAATATATATCTTCCAATCGTGAACGCTATTACGACGGACATATTATAATCACTGCTTTATATATAATCAATAAAATTTTAAGCATTTTCGCGCAAGATTATATATATATATATTCCTCTATTTTATAACAAATCTATCGATTCTATCTTTGAATAGGATTAAGCGAATAAGCAAGTAACGGTTCCGAGAGTCCCGTAATTGGATTAGTCTATAATATATAGCTATTAATACAAAATTTGAGTTAAAGGAGATATGAAACTAATGACCAGGCACAAAAATGTCGATTGTGATTTCACAATAACGTTATTCAACTAATTCTTGCATTTAATTAATTCCTGCATAGTTTAAAAAGCAGCTTGTGCAAAAAATAAAAAACAACGCGCGAATTCCAGTAAAGCGCGAGGTGCGATATTCATTCAATCATATACGATTAAAACTTTCTGCTAATTCAGTCGAGTAGATTCCTTGTAAGATCTCGTAATTGACATTGCTATCATATTCGAGATATTACGTTTTCAGAGGAACCAAATAAAAAATTGCTTCCGGCAATGTTCTGAGAATTTCCTGAATTTGCAATTTTCACCCGGCATAGGAAACAGAATTACGACTGGCAATATAATGGCATTGTAAAATGTACTCCGGGAAATCCTAGGCTTATATCCGCGTCACAAATTGCGCAATTGCTTGTGACTATAACTTCCTTCGCAAGAAAAGCAACCGAAAGTTTCAGCGACGCGAGATTTGCCCGCACGCTGAGAAAAACAATCTTTTCTTATAATAATTATATAAAATATTCCACGATCTATGTATAGAATTATTTTAATCTCGAAAAGAGACGCGTTCGACAAAAGGTCACCGAATACCGGTGCTACGAGTTTGTCACGAGTGCGATAAGTAAAATTAACGACCGAAGCCACGGTTAACATAGGGGGAAGACGATGTTTTGAAGTTGTAAAATCTTGGTCCAAGTTCTTTCCCGTCTTAGTTTTTCCTTCATTCCTTGTAAGATCTCGTAATTGACATTGCTATCATATTCGAGATATTACGTTTTCAGAGGAACCAAATAAAAAATTGCTTCCGGCAATGTTCTGAGAATTTCCTGAATTTGCAATTTTCACCCGGCATAGGAAACAGAATTACGACTGGCAATATAATGGCATTGTAAAATGTACTCCGGGAAATCCTAGGCTTATATCCGCGTCACAAATTGCGCAATTGCTTGTGACTATAACTTCCTTCGCAAGAAAAGCAACCGAAAGTTTCAGCGACGCGAGATTTGCCCGCACGCTGAGAAAAACAATCTTTTCTTATAATAATTATATAAAATATTCCACGATCTATGTATAGAATTATTTTAATCTCGAAAAGAGACGCGTTCGACAAAAGGTCACCGAATACCGGTGCTACGAGTTTGTCACGAGTGCGATAAGTAAAATTAACGACCGAAGCCACGGTTAACATAGGGGGAAGACGATGTTTTGAAGTTGTAAAATCTTGGTCCAAGTTCTTTCCCGTCTTAGTTTTTCCTTCTCTCTCTCTCTCTCTCTTTCTCTCTTTCTATGGACCGGCATCGAATAACGATCCGAATTTGGCGATGGGAAAACTGCGCGCGCGGATGGCAAGCCTCTTGGGAGAAATCAAAGACCGTCCTTCGAATTCTACGACCACCATCGCGTGTCGAAATAAAGAGGCGTAGTAATGTCACGGTGTGTGATGGTTAAAAATAAACGAGCTGAAACGCATTGTGCGAGATGCGTCCTCTCTCGTACGTCCGCGAGGGCGTACCAATGGATCCTCGCGCATCTTGCGAATTAAGATGCGCGATGCATCAGTTACCGCGACTCCTGTTCCGACTCGTTTCTTTGCATACGAACATCGAGCGAAACGAGTTTCTTGAACGTTTTGTTAAAATGAATATTTTTATAACGCACTACGATATCTCGTTTAACTCTGAAACGCTGGTGCTAATCGAAAAGAAATACAGATTTCGAAAACCGCTCTGATAAACCTGATTAGCTAATGGAATTTGTGATTTTTCGAGTTATTAATTCTCTTGTCAGACTAGTTGTTGCTACTCGTATATTGTTTTACATAATTTCGTAAATAATACATAATTAATACATCTATCATTTATTTATATACATTGATTGCAATGCGCGAAAAAATTGCAAACGAAAAACAAAGAGATACGGGCGACATCCGTACTTGAATAATGGCGCATCATCAAGTAGATAAATAGATCGAGAGAAGGAAATGTCGTTAGAAATATCCTCGCGTGCTACGATCGCGTCATTCGCTTTGTCAGAGGCAAGGTAACGGTTTAAGCCGACTGGACGATGTTAATTAACGTTTTGTTATTCGACGTCGATCACGTCGCTCGTCTATCGATAACGGTGAACTCTTACGAGAGAATCGCTTGATGGCTTTTTCCTTTCTTTTTTATTATGGTAATATAGCCCGCAGAATCTCGTGACTTTACGTGGGCACACCTCCGGTCTGACCTTCGACTGTCGAAAAGGAAGCAAAAGAACGGTAATTCTGCCTATGCCACACGAGAGGCCCCGATCAAAATATCTGGAATGTCATCGAATCTCTTGCGAAAGAGATCAAAAATATAATAACAGAAACGACGTGTCACATATTCAGTGACGAGAATCACTCCAGAATTCGTGACGGATAGATTTAACGAAATATAAAAATATCGATCTTTGCCTATCGTCGAGCGATCAATAATCAATAATAGTGTAAGTAAACAAACGATCAAAAGCGGCTCTCTTAAATAACAAAGAAAAACAGGGGACAGAAATTTAACGAGTCGCTGTCAAGTTTGGCTCTTCAGTTTCGGCGTAGGTGCAACGGGTTGACCTTCGTTTCGGTCTCCACGAAGGAGAGAGAGGAGAGAAAGAAAAATAAAATAATTAAGAAATGACGAAGAGGAGTGAACGCTCGGTAAACGTCTCGTGTCAATGATCCCGGTAAGATGTGCCTGATGGTTTTTACGATACCCTCTCATATCAATAATGAAACCACTATCAATAACGAAATCTGCGGGACTTGATGAAAAGAGGTGTCCGAAATGACAAATGCGACGGTAAATTGTTTTCTAATGATCGACCTATGTAACGCGCACGAAAATATAATTGTATATGCGTCCTGGAATAACGTGTCTTTAGGATACGTAAAAAGAGATTATCGAAAAGTATTTGAAGTCAAGATGTATTTTGATAAGCGAGAGTAAAATTGATTGCAGCAATCTTACTTGAAAATTAATGGATAAAAGATATACAACTTCTCTTTAAGCAAAATTAAATAAAAAATTATTAAGAAATCATTAAAATAATAATTTTTCTATTACATACATGTTCAATCGTGTACGTACCTTCGTAATATTCCTAAGTATTAACAATCTCTTTTGTTAATCCTAGAAGCTCGTTAACTTTTTAATAAAACTAAGCAAATGATACGACGATCCACTGACTAATCAATATCTAAGGACTATCGCTCGTTATCGATTATTTATCGTTCCGATTTTACACCGATTCGTTCACGAAAAGGTTTATGTCCGAGAATAAGCGTTGAAGATGTTTGTTGTTAAAGATGTTCCAGAATAGAGAATACCTTAAATATCTTGCGAAAAGAAAGCGAAAAGAGAAGAGAAGGGACACTCACCTGCGCAACGGGCAGATCACCTCGGAAAAAGCATGGTCGAAGCAGCGAGCTTAAGCTCATATATACCCAGGTGGACCTCATTAGAATTCAGGTGCACAAGCCCCCGCATGATTGGCTGGTTCGTCGACCCCTCTGCCTCCCGTCGACGTCCAGGAGCACCGATGAGATGAGGGACGATATCGTCTTGCAGAGTGAATGCTCGATCCATCATCGAGGCGACTTGTCACTTCGCGTTCTCGCAAATCAACACGAACAAAAGGGAAGAAGAGAGTTTTAATTTTCTAACTACACGAGTGCTCGTCCTCTCCGAGAGAGAGAAATGCTCTTCGCTGCCTAAATTTATATTAAGTCATAATCAAATTTTTTGATAATCGATTGTTACATCTCGCATTAAACTGATGTATGTATTCTTTTATAATTATGCTATACAAAACTTCGCAAAATGTAAAAAACTTGGAAATCGCATTCTTATATGATATATTGATATACATATAAAATAATTTTCTTTATTAATAATATTCGATATAATAGTCGTTTTGCGGAATTTAAATTTAATTGTAATCAGAAATCTCAAAAGCGAAGGACACACCGGCCTTGGAACGTACCATATAAATCTATGAATGGATGTTTGAGAAGAATTGAAATTGCACAATACGTGTCATCAATTCAATAAAATATATTTTATATGACACGTTATTTTGAGATATCGTGTTATCGACATGGAAACATCATACCTGACATCCAAGCAGAATTTTGCGTCGCGATGCAAGTTATTTTCTTTTCGATATTTGTGCGATATATTGATACTTTGATAATTAATCCTTAAATTTAAGTTTTAAAAAAGAGATTAATACAAATTAACAATATGTATGCAGCAATTTTTGCAGTTGTGTATTTTAAGATCCAAGCTAATTTGCACGAGTTACATAGCTAGGACTGATATGATACAAGTTTTATTCAACTTCCATGATAAAATATTATCCAAAACGCTTGTTATCTCGTTATTGAAGCACTTTTGACTTTTAAACATTTTTTAGACAGTTTTATTATACAATAATATACACAGGTATTTTATTATATGTATATCGGGTATCGGATGCAATCGCTTTTGCTGTAAAAGTTTTTTAAAGTTCGAGCGTCTTGCATGAAATCGCTAATCTTATATCTTTATTGAAATACGAGCAATTTACAAACATTTTTCTAGACAATTCGCGATTTATTCCAGAAATTGAAAAATTATTTTTCCAAAGAGACTCTCTCTCAAAAGTAATGGAATTTTAAAATGTTGCAATAATGTAAGTAATAATCTCTCATTGGTTTTTCCTGTTAGAGGAAAAAGATGATTCTTATGGATTTTATAAATTTTATAAATTAATAAAGACCATTCGGCAATGTCCTCCAGGAGACCCTACATATAATCGTGAACATTTGGGTGTTACTTAGGAGATCGGAGATTCTTGGATTTTGGGATGTTTGATTTTGTCACTAAAAATTTACGTGTCCATTCACGCGATAAATCGCAGAGTGAAAAGCGGGGACAGATCACGCGTGAGAGGAGTCTGTTTGCTTTTTCACTTCTCTTGACTTCATACTCGAGTTTTTTTTTTTTTCGTTTCTTCGCACGACGCGTCATTGCCATTTCGCCTTCGACGCGGCCACCGCGATCGACGTTTGGCTAGGCAGACCGGGACGCGCGATGAAGAAGAGCTGAGTGTGCGGCTCGCCGTCCACCGGGTACATGAGGTACGTACATATGCATATATGTCATGCATACCGTAAACATACCGTGAACGACACTCTAGAGTCATGTCAACGCACATATGTGTGGTCTTGTATGAGAAATTCTTTTTCTTTTCACGATATCGTTTTTTACGTTCCTCTCCTATCTCGGTTACGTTAATGAGAATTGAGGTTATCTCTTGTAAATAAATTATTAATGATATTTATCGTTATCCGGTTTTTTTTTTTTTTTTTTTTTTTGGTCAACCGTCACGCATTGTTAATATCGATTTGTGTTTTTTACACATTGCTGCGAATAACGATGAGAGAGAGAGGAAACGAAGCGATGTACATCAAAAAGGCATCACGGTTTCGTCGATATCAATTGGCAAAAAAATTCGGCTATTTAACATAAAGAAAATGCTTTTCAATATGCTTATACAATATTTTTATAATTATGACAAAAAGCATGTATATAGAAGATAAAATTAAATATAAATAGAATTATAGATAAATTAAATCTTCAAAGAGTGCAAAATAATTAAGAGTATATATATATATATATATATATACATACATAATATATATGCCAATATTAAAAATTAGACACATAACTAAAAATTGAGTACAATAAATAGAAGCTATCGATGAAGCTTTCGATAAAAAAGCTTTGTGCGATTCTAAAGCAAGGTACCTGTACGAGAGATGCTTTGTTGTACAAGCAACAGCGATGACATAAATATATAAACGCGAATATGACGTGATATCACATTAAACTTTCTCGATTAAGAATGAACGTTTCAGCGGGAATGGATTTAATACCGCTTCGTTCCAGTCCGGAAACATAATTTGTAATCGGGGATAGGAGGATGCTTCCTCCCGATTATTCCGACGAGAGTGTTTTCGGGACTGGATATCGTTATTATCGGATAGGCGATGCGTATTTTACGGGCAAGTTGGAAAAGCGACTGACGGGTCGACCTGTGTATGTTCGCCTGCCTCGCGGGTTTTCACTGTTTTCGAATATGGGATGAATATCGGGTTCGCGCTTCGCCACGCGAATCGAGCATTATATCGCCTTTGCATTTACGGAGCTGTCACTGTCGACTTGCTCTCGTTATGAAAGGGGTATTATGTTTTAATAATGGACAACACCGCGCGTCAAATTCATCCGGCAGAGTGAAAACGCGTAACATTTATTTTGTTTGACCAGTTTCGAATCGCATCGGCACGATATACCGATGTACATATATACTATGTATACATTAAATATGAATATGCTGTCGAAAGTTTCGATATTGAAGCATTCTTTTTTCCAACTATAACAGATATATTACAAAGCGCGCGATACACGAGTGCCATTTATTTTCTTACGGCATATATTATTTAAATTGCAATTAAAAAATCCCAAATTTAAACAAAATATCATCTTCGAAACTATTCGAGTATCGATTTAACATGCTTTTTTTAAAAGTCTAAATATAATAGTGAATATATATAGTTAGCGATTATACGTAAGATTATAAGGTATACTTATATAAGATCCAGTGATTGAAAGATATATAATATTTATTTAATATATAAAGCCATGCATATTTATACTTATTATAATGCATATTAAAAGTATACAATTCCCTAAATAAAGCTAACTTATTTTGTATAATAATAACTTAAAATAATATTGTATGAAATTTCGCGCATTATTTTCGTGTGGCAATTTTTTAATATAAATATTACAAACAAAAAATAAATAGATTACTTAAAAAAAAGATTTGAAAGTAATTTAATAATTGAAAATACTTAATTGTAAAGAAGATACTGATAGAAACGCACTTAAATTCGAACTCATTAATTAAAGCTTTTAGAACAAAGCTTTAAAGTTTTACATCAATTAACTCAAATATCAAATATTCACATATACACACACACACACGTGAAAAATTACATTTAAATAAACTGTATAAACTTGTAAATAATTTCAATATTCTATGCGAGAAAATAATTATTATCTTCATAATAGCAAAATGATGATTCAATTGTCGAGACATAAAGTAGACATCTTGCGTACAAAACACATTTAGATAATTCTCACATACAAAATCTTATAAACAACCGTTCTGCATTGAAACTAGGTATTCATTATATCGTTTCTGTTGTGCTTGTTGTAGCTTTTGCAACTTCTTAAGCAAACCTTTGCTAAGTTCTTTACCTTCGGCATCATGCGTTGGCAATCCCTATAAGGATATAGAACTATATATAGAATAGAAATATATATAAATTATATAAAACACCAGAATATAAGCAAGCATTAACATAATATAAATCTAATCTATCATATTGATAAATAAAATGCTTTTACCTTATCATCAAATTGAGAATATTTGTCTTTTTCCAATCTAAACATATCATTCGGTGATATTTTTTTCTGTGCTTCTTTCGCTGCTGCAGCAGCAGCAGCCTCTGCTTTTTTCTTTTCTTTCTCCAAGTTTTTCTCGAGTTCCAACTTCTTCTTCATTTCTTTCTCCTTCAACAATTCTTCTTTGTTAACTAATTTTACTTTACAGTCTTCTTCATTGTCTTCCAACCGCACTCCAATGTTCGGCAAGGTATCGTCGCGCAGTATATCGCATTCTTGCAAGATATCGCTTGCTTTCAAAGTTTTCGCGAAATTTCGAACTTTATGCCGGAAATTAGCCAAAATTTCCAAATACGGCATAACAGTTTCTTCAACCTGAAAATAGAAAATTTATGTATATGTATATAAATTCATATATAAAATTTCTCGACGATAAACGAGATATATTAATCTATCTTACATTTGCACCAACTGCCTCATCATCAATTGGAAATCCAATAGAATCATATGAAGAAGAAATGGCCCCAAAAATAATAAACAGTTTTGTAATATATACAGAAATATCCCTAAGGAGAAGTATATTTGGATTTTTATTTTGACTCATATAAATATTGCAATTTGCTACAAGTTCTCGTACTATATCGAGAACAGTTCTTGTATCAATATTGTCTGTAATAAACACATTTTTTTAATATTATGTATTTAAAACTATCAATCAATAAGATATAATCGAGATATAAAAACACTTACCGCACAATGCTTTATGTATAGAATGCTTAGCAATATAAAAGTTTTTATTGAGTTCTATTTCCGGATGAAACCATTTAGTGAAACTATCAATAGTAGTTTTCGTTCCCAAACATCTAATTTGACATTTAACATTCAAAAAGAATTCCTGCAAGCATTAATTTTATTTAATAGATATATAGAAATATTATAGACTTGAAATATGAATTAGATTCACACAATATATATACAATAAAAATACTTACATTAAGGAATTTTTCATATTGCACGGCCATACTCATAGTATTATCGCTATAATCTAAAGTATCCTTCCATGAATGCAGAAGAAAGGCAAGTCTGAGTTGTCTCGCCGAATGCTTCTTTAAAGCATCTTGTATAGTTACAAAATTCTTTAATGATTTTGACATTTTGCAACCTGCTATAGTCAAATGACCAGAGTGTAGGAAATATCTGACCCAATGTGAATTATCGAAATACGCTTCTGCTTGTGCGAGTTCGTTATCGTGATGAGGAAATTTAAGATCTACACCGCCTGTATGAATATCTAAGCTCTCTCCGCAAATCTCAGAAGCCATGACTGAGCATTCAATATGCCATCCAGGCCGTCCCTTGCCCCAAGGACTGTCCCACCATGGTTCACCTGCTTTTGAGCTTTTCCAAAGTGCAAAGTCTGTCACTGATTTCTTTTCAAAGAGTTTATCTTCCGTAACACTCAAATCACCTTAAATTAAAAAATTAAATCTAGAAAAGATCAAGAATTATAAAGAATAATGATTTAAACTTACCCTCTCCCTCTTGTAAACTTGATGTATCGCCATATGCTTCTGGTACAAGTTTAGCATAAGAATGTTTTTCCTGTTTATCAAACTTGCCTACATCAAAGTACACTGATCTATTATTTTCATAAGCAAGTCCTTTGTTTATTATATTTTGTACGAACGCTATTATCTCAGGGATATATTCACTAACTCTTGTCAGTACATTCGGTCTTAATACCTGAATAATTTTTGCAAAATAATATTGATTATTATCAAAATTAACTTTATCTTCAAAAAATAGACGTTATTTGTTTTAATATTGCATTGAAATCTCTTACGTTTAAAGCATCCATATCTTTATGAAATTCTGACTCCCAATGTTTAGATAATTTATTAAATATTGAATGCTCCATAACAGTATTGCCTTTTATTTTATCTAACCAATCAGCTAAAGGATCTTTAACTTCTTTCAACAATGCCTATACAAAATGTTACATTAATATTTTATTTATTTATATTAATAAAAAATAATTTTATAAAATTCTTTGCATTAAACATTACTTTTTGAAATTCTATAATTTCTTTCTCATTTTTTCCTATAACTGCTTTTTCCAGATCTTCAATAGCTTTTGTTATTTTGCATAGCATCTTCTCCATCATGCACTTTTTATCAGGATCAGTTGTAGTTCTTACAGTATTTTCAAAAGTAGACATTACTTCTCTTGTATCATTCAATATACTATGAAGATCATGATTTTTTTCTACATATCTTTCATACAAGTAATTTTGCCGTGCCCTTTTTATAATTTTATCATCTATATCAGTAATATTCATCACATATAAAACATCGTATCCAAAATAGTCTGACAGTATACGACGTAAAATATCAAAAGATATATATGATCTATAACAAAGGAAACATTTGCATATAAATATCTTTCTCGTATATCCATTTTTAATAGTATCAAAAAAAAGTATAAAGATGATATTATTAAAAATTTAAGCACAAGTGATACAAATGAAGAAATTATGTTTATGAAAATACTTTTAATACCTTGCATGGCCCATGTGTGATGCATCGTAAACAGTAGGTCCGCAACTATACCACAGAATCCGATTTCCAAATTGTGGGACAAATATTTCCTTTTCTCTGGTCAAACTGTTGTATAACCGTAGTACGGTATTATCTTTCCTATCTGGCAGATGCCAAGCTGGTTGTGATCTCTTAGCCATTTCTAGTTTACGGAACATAAAATATATCACTTAAAATCAAAAATACAATTTGTTTTCTTGTAACTTATAAACTTAAACTAACATAATTAACATTATTTTGGAAAACTTGAAAATCCAAATTATATTTCTCTTAATAAATTTGCCAATTAATTTAACTAATATATTATCCATAAAACTAATATATTATCAATTAATATACAATTAATTAATTTACCTTCAATATATAATATACTTTTTCTAAAACAAACTAGAAAGAAACTAATAATACGTGTGCAAATTTAATAACACGTGTCTAATATACAATAACCAGTTCAGTTGCACTTGATTGCGCTGATCAGTGCTCAGATGACATGATCGCGTGCATCCTTACTCCTTCGTTTATATACTAACTAGATAGGAAACTTTATGATCTTTTTGAGCACTTGCGTTGAATTTACTAGCCCTCGGTTCGAAGATGCGTCGAAAAATTCCTAACAGATACCCAATCAGCAACGATGTGTAATTATGACGTTTCAATATCGCGTGTACTTCACGCAATTTACGTTTCGTGGTTTCATTCTGTACCGGCTGATAATGACAGTTCGACTGTCAACGTGCCAAGCGGCCTAAAAACGACAATGATAGCCTCTGATAGCGAAGTCCACGTGCTTATCTGATGGCACGCGATAACGAGTATGCAGGTGTCGTTATCGTTTATTACCGCAGCCGCCGACAGTGAAACTTTCGCGTCCGTAAATTTCGTTCGATCGAATCGATATTCGAAGCGGACGTCAAGCGTAAGGAGGTCAGCGTTGACTGAAGAAATATGTTACCTGAAATTTCTACAGACATAAACTCGTCACCCGTTCCCAATGTCCGCAAGATGTTTAATTTATACGTGCCATTTAGAATTAACCTATGATCGCCATAATTTATTGGCGAAGCACGCTCGAGAGCGTTTGGTTGCCTCGACTCTTTATCACCTGCGATAAAGAGCTTTTTAAACCGGACGCGTGATATGACTCGATTATTATTCACAGTCACATTCCACAAAACGAACGAGGAAACCGTGGAAATAACTGAAGCATGTACGTGTATTTTTCTTTTTCTTATCGATTTAAATCTTGACAAAGAGTATACAGCATATATAAATGATGAATTTTTCTTTGCAGATGAAACACAAGAGAATTGTTATATATCTTGAATATCCCTGCAACCTTTCTCTAATATGCAATATTGTGTGAAATTGTAGAGTTGTTATAGACTGAGTAAAAAAAAAAATGATAGTACTGCCTGCCTATCATTAAACTTGTAATCAATAGCAGGTAAATAATAATTTTGGCTTAGTGTGTTATAGAAATACTTTTATATATTTATATATAACTCATATTATATTATGCTTTTAGACATTGCTCTACATTACAATGGATATTGGCGTTGTCAAAATCGCAGAAGATAAAGATTTTGAGAAATTAAAGAAATTGTACGATGATAATAATGACTGGAAATTAGATTATAACAAACCTGATTTATCTGTTTGGACAAAATGCGTTCGAGGAATTAGTTTTAAAATGGTGAAAGTGAGTTATTCTTTATTGATAAATAAACTGTACTTTTTACAATCAATATAGGAGCAATTTAATTTTACAGATTAGAACGCGTTTTTCCGACATTTCGCCAGAAACGTTATATGACGTTTTACATGATCCTGAATATAGGAAAGTTTGGGACACTCATATGATTGAATCAAAAGATATAGGATTTTTTAATCCAAATAATGATATTGGTTATTACTCCAGTGAGTACTATGTTTCCATACATTTTTGACATTTGATCCATATATCAGGAATCTTGCTCTATTCATACTGCAAAAATTTTAGTGGCATGCCCATCTCCGTTAAAAAATAGAGACTTTGTCTTGCAACGATCTTGGCTAGATACTGGTATAGAACAATTGATAATAAATCATTCCGTTTATCATAAAGATTATCCACCTAGAAAACACTTTGTACGAGCAACATCTTACCTCACAGGTAAGATATTGAAACTAGTTAATATTTTGTACAGTACATATATATATATGTCTAAAAATAATATATATTATATTTAAGGCTATATTGTAAGGCCTTCACGCAACGGAGATGGTTCCGAGCTCGGTTATGTATCGCATACAGACCCACATGGTAAATTGCCTGTGTGGTTGGTTAATAAAATTACGCAAATATTTGCTCCCAAAGTGAGATTTCTTATAAAGAAATACATCAAATTTAAGTTACAAATATACATATTTCCTTGTAAAACTATTTTTGTAGATGGTGAAACGATTACACAAGGCCTCTGTGAATTATCCAAGTTGGAAATTACTTAATAATCCAAATTATAGGCCATGGCATTGTCCTGAACAAATAATGGCACCTAGAATACGTATTGAAGAAGTAAGAATAGCCTCTTATATTTTACATTTCCAAGTTATACTCAAATTATACTTTGTGTAGAGATACCAACTCTTTTAAAAGAGTCTTTAAAATTTTATTTTATGGTATACATAAGCTTCAATTACGCAATTGTCTGTTATTAACTCGTTTCAGTGTATAAAATCTGCAGAAGAAGAAAAGAATTCGAAATATAATTATGTAGACGAATCTGACTTAAGGGAAAGTTCGGTTAAGGAATCTACGGCGGTGGAAAGCGATTAATTTAATAAAGGGTCGTAAGGATTTTTAGGTAAGTAATAGTAAAGACGGAATATATATAACGGAAAGCTCTCTCTCTCTCTCTCTCTCTCTAGAGCTACAGTATTAAATAACTAAAATATAACAAACAATTTGTACAATTATCAAGTTCGATTTGCGTATTTCTTATATAATAAATTCTAATTATAATGTTATACATTTTAATGCATATAACGTTAAAACTCACGTTCATTATTATACGCGAAGTCGCCTTGCGCGTATATGCGAACGTAACTATATATAAACATCGACAAAGAAAAAAGTATTGATGGCCTGCTTTGCATTAGGTACTAATTTCAAGTCAGGTTTATATTGTTGGTGTTGATAAAGCGCGCAAATTTAATAAAGATATATCGTACAATATAGAAGGTATACTTGAAACTCTTTTTATAATAACAAAGGAAACATCCATCTGGTCTGTCTTCTATATTGTGCATTGCACGTATAATATAATTGTTATTTATTATATTAATTCTTCTTAATATATATACACATACGAAGTGATCGCAACTTTTTGTAGTATCGAAAACATAAGAATAGTTAGAGATTTTTAAATGCTTTGATGAGATTTAAATTAATTTTTATTAGAATTATATGAAACATTTATCGGAAAGAGAACGCTTTTACATAAAAGGAGACCTTTTTTTCTTCTATATACAGATACTTAAAGACCTAAATATTACACAAATTCTAAGTAAAACGATTAAACAAATTAATATGGATAAGAAGTTCAGATATACTCCAGATTTTCTCTTTATCATTCTAAATAGATTTTATTCGCAGTCTCCTCAATTATTTTTTTATGGGTATATTAAATGTGTAGGGACAGATGTGAATGCAAAGTATATATAAAACGAAAATAGTATTGCAGTTTCTCGAATTTGAGTTTCGTTAATTTAGTTATATATTACATTTTTATGTAATACAAAGTGCTCTGTAAGACTGTCAAACTTCAACGGCATATTTTTAAAAGAATTTTTGCATTAAAATTTATACCAAGGCAAAATTAAATGATTTGGACAAATTAGATGTCAAAAATGCTAACAATTGATAAAATTATTATTAAATAATCGGTGAGCAGAAATTCTTTAGAGGCTAACGCTCGTGAAGTTTGAATCATACTTTACGAAATATATTGTAGAGTATATATACACATATTTCACTGAATATTAATGAATATGTATTATTTAACTATAAATTATAAATAATGAATATATATATTATTTAATTATAAATTATTAACAAAAATTATCTAAGAAGAAAAGATTTAATATTATACA